GCTTTTGGGCAAGAGCTCCCATGGCAGTGTGGACGCTCTCCTGCACAAGAAAGCTCTGATGGCCATTTTAGCCATAGAGCTTTCTTGCACAAGAAACCCCTGCCGCGCGTCCACACTGCCCTCTTGTGCAAGAGCTCTTATACGAGAGAGCTTACACTTGTTAGAAAAGAGCGTAGTTCTTGCGCAAGAAGCCCTCGCTTCCCATACTTTACTGTAAATCTTCTTGCACAAGAACGGATGGGCCGTGTGGACGCTCTGCAGGTTCTTGTGCAAGAACAACTCTTCTTGCGCAAGAACCCACCAGTGTAGACATAGCCCTGGTGTCCAGGGACTAGCCAAAGGCAGGAGTGTCAACAGGTGTGGGTGAGGCTAGGTTATTTGAAGGAGTCTCATGGAATTTGTTCTTTTAAAGGTTTCCTGGAAACATGGTGGGTGCTGGAAATGGTTCAGTGGGGCACAGAATGGGCCCTCAGAGACCTGAGCTCTCTTCCTGTCGTTTCCCCTCCCTGGCCTCATTTGGCCCAGCTGTAAAATGAAAAGAATGACCCTGCCCTGCTTTGCAAGGCCCTTTGAGATCTGCTGATGCCCAGAGCTGTGTAAGAAGCAAGTGGTGTTAAATGTGGCCTTACAGGACTGGGCTGTGTCCCTTGTGAGGCTCATCATTTCCCATCACAAGCTTACGCTTGTGTGTGAACATGGGTAAGTACTAGGCTGGGTCCTCCTGCCTGACTCACAGGAGGGTGGATAATAAAAACGGAGGGCGAATGGGTGTGTCTGCTGTGGCCAGGGTGTAGCATGTGCCTTATGGTGCTGGTGAGCAGTTAGCTTCATGCTGGGCAGGAGTGACCTGGTGGCTCTGCAGCAGCTTGCTAGTGAAGTCAGGCTCAAGTTCCTCTGCTCTCCATGTTGTGCGCAGCACTTTCCATCTTGCTTTATTGCACCAGGCACTTTGCACCTCGGTTTGTCTGCAATCTGCTGGGCCCAGCTGGGACACAGCCATGAGGAAGGCATGTTGGGGAGGGCTGTTATCATTCTGTGAGGCATGGCAGTTGTGGGATTGTTATCATGGAGCTTATGCTCCCCATGGCTAGTACGATGCTCTGAAGTTCTCTCCACTCAGCAAGGAAACTTTCCATAGGGCTTAAACCATCTCTCCTGAAGGAGTCATGGTAGTGGGGGAGTTCCAGTGTCACCCATGGGGCAGAGACCCTGGCTTTCATGGCCTGTCCTGGGGAATCCTGCTCTGCAGAGCCTGCCCCCATCTGCACTGGGACTGTGTGCATTGTATATCAAACAATGCAGACGGTAAGAAATGCAAACCAGAACTATGAATTTCTGGGGAAAATAAGATGATCAAATCATAGCAGAGCTGTCAGTGGAACAGAAGGAGTAACTTATACTCAAGAGTTGTAAAAGAGCTGGCCAAGGTCAATAAGCACTGATTTCAATAAGTCCTGGAATGCTAGGACTGTTCCAGAAGCCCGGCAGGAAGCTATTGCTGTGCCAGTGTTCAAGAGGGGTAAACAGTCTGACCTGGGCTGTAACTCTAGGCCTGCCGCTCTAAGCTCAGTCCCGCAAGAGAATGGAGTAGCTGTCACAGAACCCATTTAATAAAGAATTAAAGGAGAGGAATGTAACCAATGCCAATCAATGTGGGTTTATGGGAGATCACCCCTGCAAAACTACACTGATATCTTTTTTGGTGAGGTAGTAACTTTGACTGTGAAAGGCCATAGTGATGCTGCAAAACTATTGCAATACTGAGGCCTTTTTAGTACAAATCTAGAAAGATGAAGATGCAGCAGGCCCACATTCAATCCATTACAAGCTGGGTAACTGTCAGGGAATTCTGAGCACCTCAGAGTGTGAGCCTAGTGAGCCGTGTAGGCCGGTGGTGTAATATAGATGCTGTCTCCATCGGAAAGTTGCCCTGAAATCTGGCTTCCTGCACTGCCAGGCCCCTGATCTGTCCCAAGTGCTGAGCTCTGAGCACCAGGACAGGCTGTGTCTGCCATCAGCGAGTGTTTCCCCAGGACCTCTGAAGCAGCTCTTAGCTGTCTGCTGCCCTGTAACATCTGGGCTAATGTGCCACTGCCGTCTACAGGATGCTATCGGAACGGACTGTCTGTGTGTGTCAGACCTCAGACTGTAACCAGCTAATGGTGATTCTCCTTTAGCATTTGTTGAAGACACCTGGTATTTTTGGAGTCATGTGGCTGCTGTCAGAGTGAATTCTCTAGGGGCTTCACTGGGTGGAACAGGGACAACTGATGCTCTTGCTCAATTTGCTGCCTTGGGAGCATGCAGCTGCCTTCTCGTACAACAGTTGAGTTCGGGGACCAGCAACACAGCCAGCCCCAAACCCTCTGCCAGCTCCTTGCTTGCAGCCTGAGTCTGGCGCATGCAGCCGGTGCAGTAAGGCGCTGGGAGCTAAACATGTCCGCTCCTGACCTTCTACCTCAGTGTATGTCTACACCACAGAGTTAGTTCGAACTAACTTAGTTCGAATTAGTTAATTCGAACTAAGCTAATTCGAACTAAGGCGTCTAGAACTAAAAACTAGTTCGAATTAGCATTTTGCTAATTTGAACTAGCATGTCCACATTGAGTGGACCCTGAACAGGGCTTAAGGATGGCCGGAAGCAGTGCCGGCAGGGCATCAGAGGAGGACTTAGAGCGTGGAGATGCTGTCTCAGGCTAGCCGAGGGCTGCGCTTAAAGGGACCCGACCCCCACCCCGGACAGACAGTTCTCAGCTTGAAAACCAGTCCTGGCTTGGAGTGCCCGGAGTGCCCACACTGGGCACATCACAGCACTCGGCCATCAGACCGGCTGCACTTGCCGCAGGCTGCCATCTGGGGAGAGGGGGCAATTGGGGGGCTGCAGGAGAGCTTCCACCCTCAGAACCCGCAGAGCCAACCCAGTCCTCCCCATCGGGGGCTCGTGCCCCATTCCTCCCTCACCTCCGTCCACTTACCCTTCCCTAGCCCCCCTTCCTGATGTACAAAATAAAGATAACGTTTCTTCCAACATTGACTCTGTCTTTATTGAACAAAACTGGGGGAGACTGGGAAAAGGAGGTGGGAGAGGGGAAGAGAAAGGCTGGGAGAGGGGAGGGCAACTAACATGATCAGGGGTTGGGAACAGGCCCCAGATGAAGAGAGGCTACAGAGACTGGGACTGTTCAGCTTAGAAAAGAGGAGACGGAGAGGGGACAGGATAGAGGTCTCTAAAAGCAGGGTTTGGGTGGAGAGGGTGCATTCATAAAAGTTCTTCATGAGTTCCCATAAAGAAGGACTAGAGGACACAAAAGGAAAGGAATGGGTAGCAGGCTTCAAACTAGTAACAGAAAGTTGTTCTTCACAAAGCAAAGAGTCAACCTGTGGAACTCCTTGCTGCAGGAGGCTGTGAAGGCTACAACTAGAACAGAGTTGAAAGGGAAGTGAGATCAAGTCATGGAGGTTGGGTCCATGGAGTAGTCTTAGCCAGGGGGTAGGAGTGGTGTCCCTGCCCAAAGTTTGTGGAAGGCTGGAGAGGGATGGCACGAGACAAATGGATTGGTCACTGTCTTCAGTCCATCCCCTCCGGGGTCCCTAGGGTTGGCCTCTGTCGGCAGACAGGCTACTGGGCTAGATGGACCTTTGGTCTGACCCAG